GCAAAGCATTCAGTAAGTACAAAGCTCCTGAGACAGCACTGCATGTGGTAAAATACACATAGTTGTAATTTAGTAAAACCTCAGCAAGAAGAGACTGAAGAACAGAAGATACCATCTCAGTCTTCAGATACTTGATACAGAGATGACAATGAAACCCCGGCCAGGGAAATATTCACTAGATATTATCAGGAGAACATGATCGTGTCTAATGAGGCAAGGCTAACTGCAGGTGGCCTAAGTTCCTGGACTGCCAGGGCTGGCTGCTAGCCCAGAGTGGGGAGAAGGTGGCTTACTTTTGGGAGGAGAACAGTGCCACCTCCTCTGGTCTTCCTCTTTCCCCTTCCTTCCTGCCTCCAAGGCCATCCATAACTCTTGTGTGCACAAGGATGAGCGTCTCCTATGTTATGAAACATTGATTGGTTAAATTCACCCTCTGTCTTTTGACTTTTCAATAACCAGTCCCAGAGAGCATCTCCTTCTCAGGTGATCCTTCCTCCCCATCCAAGTTTATCAATCCTCTACAGTTACGGAGAAAAGGGGTACACATGATGATGGTACTTCCTTGGATGACCCACTGCTGTGAGTCACGCCAATCATGCCAGCACAGCCAGTGTCCCTGAAGGACTCCAAGTGGATGCAGGACTCACCTGTGGCAAAGACGACATTCCTTGAGACCAGACGATGCTCCACAATGGAGAACTGAGGGAGCTCAATCCTTTCCACTCCAGTGACAGCCTTGTCCCCGCCACGCCAGTAAAATTCAATGTCATCTGTGGTGTAGCCATCTGTCAGGAAAGAGAAGGAGAGAGATGGCGGGTATGAAACATCATCATTTCGTATAAATGCATGGCTAAATAAATTGTCATTAATAAAATGGAAGTAATGGCTTTGCCATATTTGAAGTAGATTTGCTTAATGTGTTTGTCTATGAGAAGTGCCATCAAAGAACTAACTTTCAAATATTCTTGTGTTTCCTCTATTATTTGATTTGTACCAGGCTGGTACTGAAAAGTAGTGAAGCTATGGAGACTGGGCCCTCTAGCCAAAGTTCTGTTTGCAAAGTATAACTTTAGAGCTGGCCCAGAAATCACATAGAGATGAATTGAAAATATACCCTAAGTGCAATGAATAAGATAGTTGTAAAAGAAAATGAGAATGCAAGTGTGAAGAGTCTGCAAAGGCAAACTCCTCTCAAGAGCTACTGAAAAGCTCAAAGACTGAGGGTGAATTTAGCTCATCAATGGTTGATTATATGAAGGACTTGCAGAGAACAGTAGCATTCTCCTCGGCATTTTTGGATGGTTTCCTCAGCTCTTCCTGGCCATGGTTTGCCAACCTTAGAAATATCTTTTGTTGGGATACTACTGACCCTTAGAGATTTTCAAAAGTGGTTTCCTCGGAAGGAGGGGTGGTCACTGGCTGGATTATAGCTCCAAACCCAGCTCTTAGCGCAGTGCTTATGCGAGTGCTTCATTCAGTGCGGAATCATTGCTTCTTAAGAATGACTAAATAGGGCAATAAATTTGGATGTGACTTGTAACACCCAGGAGTCTCCTAAGAGATTAGGTCGACTTTATCCATAAGATCAATTAGAACACAGATCTGGAGAAAAACATCATATCAATATAACACACCTTTGATTTGAGCATATAATACAACAAAAAGGTATTAGCCCAATATTTGTTGTTAGACAAACAAATGAACCAAGGCCATGAGGATGACTGTCCCTCATGGCTAATCCCATCTCCCTATTCCTCTCTGTTGTCCTCTCTTTAATAAAATACACAGCTTACTACATGGTAGGTGGCATAGTCCTCTGCTTAAAACCCTCAAATGTTTCCTAACACAATTAGCAAAGCAAGCCCAAACTCCTTGCAAGGACCTCAAGAACGCACAGTCCTGGCCCCTGTGTGCCTCCACAGCACCCCCCAGCCCAGCCTCGCCAGTCTCCTACTGCGGCTCAGACCAGCATGCTGTGCCCGGGGCTCCTGCGCCCTCTGCAGGACCTACCTCCAGTTCTTCATGTAGCTTATTCTTCCATTTGCATCTCGATTTAAAGAAAACCTTCTTGCAGAAGCCCTCCCTGACATTCCATCTCACAAACAACCTCACAATCACTCACGACCCTTTTCTCAGACTTTATTTTCTTCAAAGCATTTATCACTATTTGTTTCTTTGTCTAATTGTTTCCTGTCTTTTCTAGAATATAAGCTCCATGAAGGCAGGCATTTTGTCTGTCATTTCTATATATCCCTGTGCTTGCAACAGTACTGCATACAGTTGATGTCCAGTAAGTATTTGTTGGATGAATTCTCAGTTCAATGAATTTGCTTTCAAGAGTGGTAATAAAGACACCTCTTTCTTTTGTCCATTCCCAATACAGAGCTGTGTGTAGCCAGCCCACCAGAAGACTGGGAGACTCTCCCTTCCACTGAAACGTGTAACCCATGGATCTTCTGCACAGGGAGGGGCCACGCACACTGCGGGGAGTCTCTTTGACAGCAGATCTTCCGGCTTGTCATCCACACAGCGCAGGCATCGCAGCCACAGGGTCCACACTCCCGAAAGTCACTCACTACGTGACCAGCTGAAATAAGAGCCGCTCCCTTACTTAGATTACAAATTTGCCTTCTTGAAACTTTCATTGGCCCATTGGAGCTGCGCCCTCTGGAGGCACAGAGTCCATTTAACCTCCTAGGACAGCCCTTCAGCTATTGGGACATCATCACCTTACCCCTGAGTCTTTTGTCCTCTCTGGTAAATGTCCCCAGACAATTTAACTACGCATCACTTGACGTGACTTTATGTCCCCCATCTCCTCTGAAAACATGACAGTGATATGGGCTGGAAGTGGCCACAGTGGCCACTCCCTCCAGGATCTGGACACTGGCCTATCACCAGTGCAATTTCTCAGCATTTTTATTCGCAAAGACATTCACTTCTCCCCACATGGAACCAAGTGATATTGCAAAGTCAAAGTCATTTATCCATCAAAAATTTAGTACAAATATTGACAAGCCTAAGTCCAACTGAGACTAATTACAGGCCAGTCTGTAATAGGCCAAGATAAATAACAGCAATAACAACATCCCGACATGCCAGGAGGAGTCGTTCAGGTAGCAGGAGGGACATCGTTTGTTAGAGGTTATAGATGCAGCTCTCGTCCATCACACAGAAGTGCTCAATGCTGAATTATCAATAAAGCATCTGAATACCACTCAAATTGAAGAAAATTGCCGAGATGCAGAAATAGCCCGCTTGTACTGCCGAGCTCCTGATGGGAAATGAGCTTTACTCTGACTGCCCGGGTCCCAGCAGTATGGCCACTCATGCATGATGGAGCATATTGTAAGAAAATTGCATCTTGGTGTTTGCTCTCTTTTCATTGAATGGACTGAGATGAGGGGCATTTGTTTTCTTATATTTCAGCACAGCAAAGGGACTCTCTTAATCAGATTAGAATGAAGAAATCTTTTTTACTGACTGAGTCTCTCTCTCACTCTCTGCCTCTCTCTCTCTGACAGTGAAATTTGCAGAGTGAAGAATTAAATCTCTAATTTAGTTAAAAACTATATCCAGAAAATTATGGATGCCTTGGAAAAGATGCTAAATGATGACAAAAAGATCTAAAACACAAAGTGAATGAAAAAGCAACACAGATACAGATACACACAGCTTTCGATTTCCAGAGTGCAGTTCTGCTCATCCAGGGGGTATCTCCGCAGATCCATCATGCACGCTGCGGTTGTGGTGATTCTGAAATACACAGGAGGGAAGATGGTTAAGAGGAGGCAAGAAACTCAGCAGGGAAACTGCTACAGATAAACATCCCGCCGTTTAGGATCCCCTTCCCCAAAGTACACCTGGCTAAATATCTTCCATGGTATATCCTGAGAAACTTGAAAAAATAAGGAACTTTTTTCAGTATACTATAAGCCAGCTTTATCAAGAAAAACGATGCAAAACTTTATTTCATTTTTTAAAAAAAAATTCAATTTTTGATTGACAAATAAAAATTGTATATATTTGTGATGTACAGAATGATGTTTTGAAATATGTATACGCTGTGGAATGGCTAAATTGAGGTGATTAACGTATGTATTACATCACATATTTATCAATTTGGGGGATGAGAACACAAAATCTACCCTGTTAGCAATTTCTGCATATATAATACATTGTTATTAACTATCGTCACCGTGCTTTACCAAAAACTTTAAATCCTATAAAATTATTCACCATGTCTTATTGACTTTGGATAATAAAGAGCAGAGAAAGTAGTTTCTAAGGAAGTTCTTATCTTTAATTTTTGTTTTATCTCCTTGTCTATTGCTCCCTAATCTCCCTATTACAGAGAGAATTTATGTACTTGTCTCTGTCAGACCAGACTGACTGGGTTAACATCGAGGCCTCTGACTTTCCACGTGACATGCTAAGGTAGCTACAGATGCACTCCGGACCCTAAACCACACTTTTGCTCGTTCCTATCCTATTACAGTTGTCTGTTAGGCTGGATTCTAATATTCTAGAGTTTTTCACCATGTGACCATCCATATTTTCAAAGAGAATATTTGGCTTCTATGTTGATTATGAATCAAAATTCAGTGGGTTAACTTCCCTTGGGGCTGGCTAAAGCCTTGCAAAAAATTTCCACACAAAGACAGTGAAGCCTCCACCATGCAATGGTTAACCAACCATACATTGAGAAACAACACTTCTAGAAATGTCAAATCCATTTCCCTACTCTGTCTACAGCCTCCTTTTAGGGAAAGCCAAGCCGCTGTTGAAATGCAGCTATTCCGCCACTATGCTATATACTATATTTCTCTAGAACCTCACCCTTTCCCCACCACTGTCAAAGCTAACTGGAATGGCCTGGGCCCCTGATTTAAGGACAGCTGACCACTAACTGGCCACAGATCTATCATGTGGCCTGAGCTAATAGGCAGAGTGGAATGAAGGGGGTTCCCTTTCACGAAAATGAATTAAACTGTAAAGAGTAGAAGTGAATCTGCACGGCTATGACTTAGAGGCTTGTGATGCCATTTCCCAACTGGAGAGCAAAGTATGAGAAAGCGTAAGAGAGGCAGAGAAGATGCGGAGGGCAGATAGTTGGGGACACCTTAGAAGCTCTGTCCCAGGCCATGGCATGTGGTCTTGCTGGGTGTGTACTCCACATCTGCAGGGAGCAGCTTCCAAAAGCTTATGCAGGAATTGTGCAACTGGCAGTCCTAACTATGCCTAGTCAATGACGGACCGTAAGAATGCTTTCTTCCAAGATCCCTTGGGCCACCCTGAATCCCCAAAGATCCTCCAGGTTTCAGGTTTCATCTTTCTTCAGGCCGAGTATTCAGCTTTCTCTGATTGGCCTTCATTATGAACATTCACAAAAAACTACTACTTCAGGTAATGTGAGCAAACCCTACTCCTACCGACAGATCCTAACCCAAACACCTGTAAAACCAGGCATGTGCCACTTCTGATGGGCTTGTCTCATCTACCCTCAACGCAGGTGCTAAGGAAATAAGGTATGTCCTACTAGCCTCTGGTTAGGCAAGCAGGTTGAGGAAATTTCTACTTTTCAATGGCTGAGAGAAACAATGAGGGAAAATGTCAACATATTTAGCAAATGGATCAATGCTAAATTTTTCTATAGAAATAGCATGCATGTGCCATGCAGACATACACTATAAGACCCACACAATGGTGAAAGCGTGTTCCTTCCAAATATCATAATACTTCCAATTATCCTTGGAATCAAGGAATGCGTTACATCCTATAATCCAAAATCAACACGTGGCTCTTCGGTATATTTTTCTACAGCATCTGACTTTCTAGCCAACTGAAGTTCCAGCCTCACACTTTTAAATTCTGGCATTTTTTATGGCAGATTGACAACCCAACATCCACACAAGATACCTCTAAGGCAAAACTAGAATAAAGTTCTACTAAAATGATGAATTTTTATAAAGAAGAGAAAAAGACTTTCACTGGCCATGTTCAAATTTTTAAATTTTCTGTCATATTTTGGTACCTATTCACTTGAACAGAGTCAATAATTGAGATTACTATTTCTTATTGTTTTTATTTTTCTTCCCCAAACCACCCCTAAAACACACATACACACACACACACACACACACACACACGGACATGCGCGTGAAACTGTCTGGGGTCACCAAGTGCGGCAGTCATTCTCACTGTGAAATGTAGAGTGTTTCATGGGAATTAGTGGAAGGGGAAGGGAGGGTGAGGCTAGAAGAATTGGTGGGCGATGTCCTTCTCTCCCAAAAGGCAACTACTATGTTTTTTTCCACAGTACGGTAGTTGTTCAGATCTTCTCATTCTGGTGTAATGCTGGGTACATAATGGAGCCCTTTTTTTCTATTTACTTTAGGAATAAGGTAGAAACATCTATTTGCTACTCTTCTTCATTTGGAAGAAATTCTTAGAAAACCCTCTCAGGGTGGAGAGTGAGGCACAAGAGCCTGCTAATGCTACGAAAGGCAGCACGGAGATGGTAAAGGGAAGAAGTTGTTGAACCACTGGGACAGAAAGGTAAGACATGAGGTGGGGACAGGAGGGATGAAGTGGGCTACACAGTCCGCCGGCACCTGCCCTGAGCCACGAAGCCCGCATCCACATTGGCTGAACACATCACAGGCTTGGGAGTGGATTTTTTGAGGGAATCAACCAAATTTTGTGCCCCTGGGACTCTGCAGAAGTTAGAGGAGTGTGGAGGAATTTCATGGACTGCAGAACGGAGAGCTCGAGCTTCATGAATGGAGATGAGCCAAGGGCAGATAAACCACGATGACATCTGTGCCCCGTTTGAGTTAATCCCCAACACTTGCACACATTTTTTGATGTTTTCCCCTAATAAATATACTTTTTCATCTTGAGATGAGAATTTAACCAACATGGAGCTCCACTTCCCCAGCCCTCTGTAATCTGAGAATTCCACTCCTGTTTTTAAGGAATAGTTGTGAAGCCAACTGATTGGAATCCAATAGGACCAGGTGAGGATTGCTGCAGTATTGCTCTTCAGTAGATGTTTTGGGGGGAGAGAGGGTGTTGTTTCTTTTTTAGCCTTTGATTGTGAGACAGCAGTGCCCAGGGTCTCTGAGGCTGCAACATAGGCTTCTGATGGAAAAGCAGAGAAGGACGGTGGCCAAGTGATAGAAAAAGTGTCTGCATTTGGTATGTACTTTCTTTACAAATAGTGACACTTCGAAGATGCTGAAAGTAAAAACAAACAAAAAGAACATAGACAAAGGGATAGAGAAGTGAGAGCTGGAAGATTGGACGTCACAGAAATGGGCGCCGATTCTTCATCTCAGCCCCCAGTCAACAACCAGTCACATCTGTACTTTACCTAACACTTGTCCAGCACTTGCTCAGTGCCCAGCTCTGTCAGAAGCACTTTAATACACCCACATTTAACCTCACAACAACCACGTTATAGGGGTATTATCATCATTATTATTACTGTTCCCATTTTGCAGACGAGCAAACCAAGGTTTGGAAAGAGTTAGTAGCTTGGCTGTGCTCACAGTGCCCTGGAAGGCAGAGGTGGCATTCAGAGCCAGGCAGCATGAACCCTACACTGTACTATGTCTTCATCACCTCTTCTACCTTAAAAAGTACACAATATATTTAACTTTTGAAGGCCTACTCAGAAAGAGAGGCTTCAGTTTTGAGTGAAGAGAAATCAAGTGGGGAAATTTATGTAGATAAATACAGATTATATGCCTATCTACATACCCATAATATTCCCACTATATACGACAGTTGGAAATTAATAAGTAAATGGAGAAAATAAATACTCCACATGATACATGCTGTTCCTACAGTAATTGTAGTGACAATTAATCCAAACAGTTTCTCACCCATTGTAGAACAGGGTAGTTTATTAGATCATCCTGTTTTCATCAATAATACACACTTGAAGACACGTTTAAGAGTTAAAAGTATGAAAATGCAAGAAATAAATTTGAAAGTTGTAAGGAGAGCACCATCCCCACTAACTTCAAAATCATGTTATGCTAGTAACGCACCATCTTTGGACACTGTCTTTAAACTGTCCTTGGAGTCCTTTCCCTGCACAGCTGAGTGAGGAAGCCTGGGTCGAAAGGTCAAGATCATGGATTTCAGTGTGCTGAAGGGTTTTCATTTTGTCTCAACTGTATTAAGCTTGTGAAATATTCTTTGGCATCAGCACTTCTATTTTTAAACACCCACCAATTTACAAATCGTAATAAGGGCAGATGCAAACTCTTCATGTAATCGCACAAATGCACATTTCTCTACAGACCACCTGGGAGGGGCTGCTGTGGAGAACGTTGCTTTGGTGGGTCAGGAACATGCTTACTACCGCAATCCCTTGTCTGAAATGTCCACTTGTTGGCCTAGGTACAAAAGCACTCCTTGTCAGACTTGCTGGGAGAGGCCGGCCGTGGGCCTTCTGGAATGCATGCACACTTACAGTGAATCAGGCAATGCACGCAATCTCTCTTCCCACTTGTGTGCAGCTTTCTGATCCACTGTATGTACTGGAGGCGATGGATTAAAATGTCCAATGTGAGTGTAGATTGTGACGTCCCTGGCTGATCATCTGGATGGCAAGGTGCTTGGCCAGCTTTCTCAGAGAAGCCTCTAGAAATAAAATATCCCAGTTTCTAGTTCTCTCTCCTCATCTTACCTCACTTTAATGTTTTCATTACATTTGGCACTGTCTACAAACAGAGTGCCAATTT